ACGGCTTCTGCATCAGACTGCTGAGCTTCAGATCCTGGCCCCACCATGTGCCAGCTCTGTGGCCTTGTACAACTTCCTTAACCTCTCTGAGCCTCGTCTGAAATGCAGGGATGACGGTCAAAAGGGCCTCACCTCCTAGGCCTGTCTTGGGTAGTACGTGAGCTAAGATGTGAGTTAAAGCAATACGAGGTCAAGCATAAAAAAGTGCTTGATAATTGTCAGCTGTCATCATGATTGTCATTCAGGGGTTTGCTAAGGCTGGATTCGCAAGCTGAAGGAACATGGAGGTTGGCCGTTAACAGCCAAACGGGGTGGCACAGACGAGAGGCTGAACTGTGTCCCAGAACATCCTCAAGCCAGATACAGAGACCTGGGGTCACGTCTCTGTCCTCAGCTCACTGTGTGACTTCAGGCAGGTCGCCGCCCTCTCTGGGCCTCTTTGTTCTCTGCTGCAGAGTGAGTGGACCCACTCAGATCGGGGTCTCCCAAACCCCATATGATGCCACATTTTACTGTATTTGCCTATCACCCGAACTATTATTTACGTAGTTGTTTTCTTTAAATCAGCTCTTTCTAAAGTGAAATGGTTTGAAAAGAGGAAGTTTGTATTACTACCAGAAATGGACAGCTGGTATCAATTGCCATGAATAAAAGGCAATCCTACAAATAAACAGAGTGAACGGAAGAGCTTTGTGTATCCCAGCCAGAGACACGCCAGTGGGCTGCAGGCCTGAGGCCTCTCTCGCTCTGTCTACACGGGGGTCAGGGGCCAGCCCAGGAGGTGCTCCAGCCAGACGAACACCCATCTAAGGCTTGATGCTGCTCGTGTCCAAGCGCTGGGAAAGGGGCGTCCCCACCGGGGGCTCTGTGTTCTGACACCCTGTCCACACGTCTGAAATGGGCTCACATTCGATCCCCTGGCCCCAGGATCGCTGCAGTCAGCACCTGTGAGGGCCTCTCACATTTTGTGAATCTGAGTAAATAATGCTTCTCCAGGCCCTTGGACACAGGGGTCTCAAGGGCACCCCTGCTGGCTCCTCATGGGAAACCCCAGAGGTTCCGTGGTGGAGGGAAGCCTGCCGGAAGTAGATGCCCAGCAGGATGGGAGGGAGCCTGCGATGACATAGGGGGCCAACTCTCAGATGCTCTGGCTACTGCCCCCTCTTCCCCCCACCCCTCCGCTTCCCCTAACCCCTGCCAGGCTCAAGAAGTGGAAAGATGCCTGTATCATCAGCAGGAGCTGGGAACGTCTCTGAGCAGCAGAAGGACACATTGAATCTATGAAGGATGAATCTGTGGAGGACATGAGAAATGCGGCTGATGGGGCCCCTGCCTCCTACCCCCTACACCTGCCGGAGAGCCCTGTGTGCGCAGCATTCACTGACTAGGCTCCATTGACGAATCGTCCCCTGTGCTCCGTCCCATCGTTGGACGTGTTACCTCATGCTGAAGTTGCTCACTGGATGGTGTGTCTCAAAGGCAGGGACTGCACTGTGCTCATCACCATGTCCCCTGGCTCTGGTGTCATCTTCTGAGCTGAGCATCCTGAGACAAGTTACTTGCCCTCTCTGAACCTTAGCTTCTTCATTTGTGTAATGGAATCATAATTAACTCATGGCGTTGCTGGGACGGTTGAATGAAATAATCCATGTGCTGCGCCGTCTTAGTCTCCGTCTCTCCAGGCAGACCCTGAGACGATTTGCATCCAAGTCATTTAGTTGGGAGGTGATCCTAGGAAGTGCTGTGAGGGGGGCGGGAAAGTGAGATAGAGGGGAAGGAGGCCAGTAAAGGACATGTTGTCTGAGTAGGTCACCACGGCGGCCCCTGGCGCTCAGTCCTGCTGGCAACTCCAAGCATAGGTGTAGAATCATCCCAGCTAGGGAAGGGGAGTGGGCTGTTGATCCACCACCTTCCTTCCGGCCGTTGTTGAGGGCTGAGGGCTGCAGTGAGTCCTCAGCTCCCCACACACGCCTGCACTCGCAGCCTGCCTTCCCTCCCTGCCAGGCCAGGCGGGCTGAGAAGGCAGAGGAAGGCCTCGGGTCCTTACAGGTGGAAGTTGCTGGGTCACGTGCCCAGGAGGGCGTGTTGCCAGGCACCTCAGCCTCAGCCTCAGCTGCAGGCTCCTGGCACAGAGGAGGGCTTAGCGAGCAGTGGCTGCTCTGATGATGACTGTCCACAGCACCATTGTTACTGGTCCAGTGCCAGCTCTGCCACCGCCCCTTGTGAAACGTTAGGCTAGTCATGTGACTTCTGAGGCCTCAGCTTCTTGGCCTATAAAATGGAGGAGACACATGGTTCTTGATGGAAGCACTTCTTTCCCCTGAGGTGGCCCTTGGAAATGGGGGGTACAGTTGGAGGGGTGGGCCAGGGACACTGTTAAACATCATGTAGTAGCCAAGACAGCCCCCTCACAACAAAGACTTGTCCTACCCAGAATGCCGATCCCACCTGTCAAACAACAATACGTGTGGCAGGTTTAACATAAAAGTTTCATTTGATGCTCAATGAAGTTTGCAGAAGGAATGGTCTGAGCTGGCAAAGATGAGGCTCAGGGCCAGAGCAGGACTTGTGGGGGCCGTGAGGAAGGTGGGTTTGGGGACCTGAGGCGCTGCAGATATGCAGGCACCTGCTGGACTTGGGGAGAGAAGGGAACGGGAGTAAGGACCTGCCAAGGGGCCAGGCCCTGGGGAGGCTGTGCCAGCCGGAGCTGCTGATTGGCTTGGCTGTGGCCAGAGCCTTCCGGTAGGCTTGTGAAACATTTTCCAGGTAAGGTGGGAGGCGGAGGTGCTGCCAAGCCCCACCCACTACCCTGAGCGGCTCCTCCTGCCCCAGCCCCAGCATCCTCCCCCTGCTCCTCCTCGGTTCCCCTCCAGCGTGAAGCTAGCACCGATTCTCTGGCCCAGGGCCCTTAGAAATGAGGCAAATTCATTAAAAAGACTTTTAATAAAAATGATTGGAAAACACCCCCAACTGGCATCTGGGGCTGCCAACGTTTCCCCAAATGTGAAGGAGGAAGGCTTCCCACTGGGCCCCTCCTGAAACTGCCGGATTGTCCCGATTCCCCCCTAAACTGGTGACAGGGTGGGCCTCCGTGTCGGTAACTCCCCTTTCTCCTTCTCACTAGGCCTGCTCCCCTCAAAAGCTTCGTGCCAACAGAGACGTTCCTGTCCAGACCCAGGAGAGCGGGAAGGAGACCCTGGGACTGAGGGCACAGGCCCCGACAGGAGGCAGGCAGGGCCAACCAAAGACCTCGCCTGCCCGCAGCGTCGCCCTCACGGCCTGGCCTTGGCGTCCAACTTTCTGCAGTTTTCATGGAGGTCAGAGGAGCCTGGCCAGAGTTTGCAACCCTGCTCTCCAGCCCCAGCTGCATCTGCTTCCCCCACTTAACCTTTGAGAGGACACTGCAGAACGCAGACACACGTACAGAGTGACTCACAGCTCCGTTTGATGCCCGTTGAGCCTTAAGCGTGGCTGGGTTTGTACCGAGCTGGTCTTAGATGTGGCGGCTGTTTCAGGAAGTGACTCAGAGGAAAAGGAGCATGCCGGTGGCTGAGGGTAGGGTTCCGACTTAACTCATTTCAAGCTGCTTCTTCATCAGTCTGGCAGAGGTCTTTGGTCAGACTTTGGGACAGAATTGACACATCGTGCCAGGTAGTGCCAAGATGCTCTTCTGGCCAGAGATATTTTTTTGAAATTGTGGGTGGTGTAAATACTTGACCTCGATAAACCTGTAAAAGCAATACTTAGGAGGCTGACTTCTTTCAATTAAAACTGTATGCAACTCTGACTCCTCGGGCGCCTGCCGTTTTTTTCTTTGAAGTTCAGGAAAGGGGTCCTGAAGCAGAACCTCATGGTTGACAAAGGGCAGGAGAGTCAGGGCCTTCCAGTATGGAGATCTGGTAGGGTTTGGAGAATTGGCCAAGTTGGGCTAGCGTGGGAGTCCCTGACCACCAGCGCCCCCCTCCTGGCCTCTGTGAGCCGAACCGGCATGAGTGCAGTGCTCGGGTGTGGCAGGAAAGGCCTGGACATCCAGCTGGAAACAAAGCAGAATCCCAGAGAAGTCCAGAGTGTGGGATTCCCGTGCTGGACACACAGCAGACCCCCCATTAAATATGGTAGGCATGCATGAGCAAGGGAAGAAATGAACGAATGAGCAGAATTGGGTCAACTTGCAGTTTTATGAAAAAATAGTAATTCCCTCCAGTTTACAGGCAACACAACAAATAAGTCTTTAAAAAATGAAATAGTAAAGGGGCTGGTGAGTAGGACATGGGGCAGTGTCCCGTGTTTAATAGTTGCAGAACTTGCTGAGGAGCTGTCCTTTCAGCTGAGTCCTGAAGGACGAGAGAAGTCGGCCACGTGAACAGCTGGGAAGAACATTCCAGGCAGAGGCAAGAATGAAACACAGATGTATGTGATAATGACTGCTAACGCATACCGAGCTGTGTGCCAGGCTCTGTTCTCAACATATTAGCTCACTGAATCTTCACATACCCCATGAAGAAGGTACTGTGACTATGCCCATTTTATAAACAGGGAGACTGAGGTGCAGAGAAGTAACTTGCACAAAGAAGTGGTGGAGCTAGGCACTGAGCCATGTGGCTCCAGAGTCTTGGCAGCTGACCTCTAGATTATGGTTTTTCTTAAGTATGAGGGGCTTAGCCCAGTGCCTGGCACATAGTAATAATAATCACTAATATTTATTGAGTAACTTACTAAGTCCCTTGCACTGTGATAAGTGCTTTACTCATTTAATAAATGGTAGTTCGTACTGTGGTGGCTTACATGTTGTTATGACGCTCGACGCTTATGCCCACCCATGGTGGACAAGTTTCAGTTTAGCTTCCAGACTAAGACAAGAATAGGAAGAAAGGCCTGGCCATCTGCTTCCAAAAATTAGCCAATGAAAACCCTATGGATCACAACAGAATATCGTCTGATACAGTGCTGGAAGGTGAGCCCCCTAGGTTGGCTGCAACAATGGGCTCAAACATAGCAGTGATTGTGAGGATGGTGCAGGACTGGGCAGTGTTTCGTTCTGTTGTCCATGGAGTTCTCATAAGTCAGAGCTGACTCTACAGCAACTAACAACAGCATCATTTAAAAAGTATTACTGTTGGTGATGGCCGCTGGCTCAGTTTCCTCCTCTCCGAACGGCTACAGGAGTGCCTGCCCTCCTGGCTGGCTGTGCGGGACACACGTGAGTCACAGCAGGCACAGCCTCAGAGAGTAGCTGGGTGCCCACGCCTGTGCAGAGCCCAGGGGTGCAGGGACACCCTGAGGAGTCACGCCTGGGCTGTTAAATCCAAGCCTGACCTGTAACTGCTGATGCCCTTTGCCAAGATTGCCACTGGGCTGGCGGGTCCAAACCCTCTGACCTACAGACCCCGACTGCCACTTGCTGGGAGAGGAGGGGAGTTTGGGAAGCAGGCTGATCAAGCTGCAGGGCTGCACACTGGGATTGAACAGACAGCTCCCATTGCCACCCAGAGAGCCACGTTGTCCCAAGTCGGGCTCCTGACAGCAGGCCGTGCCCGAGTGAAAAACAACAGCAGCCGAGCTGGCAGCTCTGGGTGGACAGGGGAGCTGCCAAGTCCCTTCCGGGCTCGCCGCAGCCAAGGCAGCATTCCAGCTTGGCTCCGAGCCGGCTCCCAGGATAGAGTGGTGTGTCAAAGGCAGAGGAAAGCCTTCCCTTTGTGAACAGCTTGCAGCACTTGAACCTTTCTCATCTCCAAATAATAAATTTTCCACCAAATCTTGGAAAGGACGCCACAAAGAAAATACTGTCAGAAAATACAGGACTTAGGCCAAGGTGTACTCGGGTGTGCGTGTGTACGTGTGTGTTTGTGGGTGGATGTGTGTTGAGGGGAGAGATGTTCCCTGGCAAATGGCCAATAGAGAATGGCCGAAGTGATGCTGGGTGACTTGAGGGCTAGGTTATAAAAAGGATACTCCCTCCCTTCCTCCCTCCTCCCTTCCCTTCCCTTCTCTCCCTGTCTCTCTCCCTCCCCCTTCCTTCTCACCACACCTTCAACTCAACCACCATGCCATGAGGAAGCCCAAGCTAGCACACATGGGAAGACCACGTGGAGAGGCCCCCAGCTGGCAGCTCCGTAGAGGAAGTGAGGCCCCCAGCCAACAGCCAGCACTGAGTGCCAGACATGACACCAGGGACCGAGCCTTCAGGTGACCCCAGCTCCAGCCTTCCAGCTAGTTGCCCCTGAGGGGTACAGAGATGAGCTATCCCCACCAAGCCCTGCCCACATTTCAGATGTCTGAGCAGTGGTTTTAAGCCACTATATTTTAGGGTGGTTTATTACACATTAGACAACTGGAATAGTGGGCCCCCAAAATGGTGATCATGGTATAAACTGAAACAGACCTGCCTGTGGAATTAAATGAGACTTTTATAATGTAGTGAAAAAGACAGGGTATGAAGGCCAAAAGGCAGAGACGGTACCACTCTCCTCCTCGCCCCCATTAGTGTATCATTAGCTGTTTCCTGACAAGGCCGAGGGCAGCTAGCTAGGCCTGGCTTTGGCCTCTGGCAAACAAAGTTAGTGCAAAACTGAGTCCCACCGACAGGAAGCAGCTGCTGCAGAGCCCGGCCTGTCGGGGCTTGGGGAATTGGCAGGCCAGGCTGCCCTCTGCTGCTTCCAGAGCTCCAGGCTCACCCTGTCAGGGTGTCTGCTTGGAGAGAGGCCAGAGAGATGCTTCCTCCCCAGCGGGCACCAGCCTGGAAAGGCAGGAGTTTGCTGCCTCGGGCCCTCACTCTGTCCTGGCCACGGGTGACTGGGGTGACCTGCAGGACTCCTGGGTGGACCACAGCTGCCACCTGGCACCTGCCCACCAGGCATACAGATGCTGAACAGGCAGCCTCAGTGGTGAGCCTGGCATCAGTCTGGGCCCGGAAGGAGCCTGGAGTTGGCTGGGGCCTATCAGCAGACCAGGACGTGGCTCACTCAGCAGTGGGGCCGGGGCCAACCCTGAGCTGGTGGAAGCTGGGCTCCAGGACGCCGTGGCGCGTGGGAGACACCAGAGGAGAGCTGTGTCCACAGCCAACCAGTCCAAGGTGCAGAGGGGTCAGTGGCCTCGGAACGTGCTGCAGGAGGTGAGGAGAGGGAGGTAAGCCAGGAAGCAGGGAGGGTGTTGTTCAAGGTCAGGGGTCGGGGAACAGTGGGCACGCAGGGCGGGGCCATCCGGTATGGGGTGGGGGGAAGGACTTGGGGGAGCACAGCGAGGGTGGGCAGTCACAGCACAGGGAGCGGCAGGACACTTGGAGAGCAAGTTTCTCTGAGGACGAATCCGGGACATCAGGGCCAGCCAGAGGGCTGGAACAGCAGCAAGAATGCCTCAGAAGTCCCCAAAGGAAGAGCTTCCCGATGCTAAGAGCTGTGGGACACGGACGGCCTGACCCACCCTGTCCTCCCCCCAGTCTCCAAGCCTGACCACAGGGAGTATCCCCAGGGCCCAAGTCCTCAAAGCAGTTATGACATTCCTCTGAGCCCAGCACAGAGACAGGGAGGCCCTGGATGGTGTCACCCAGTGCCCACCTGACGCCCCACCTTCCCAGGGACGCTGACCCAGAGAGGCAGCCTTTCTCCCTCCCTGGCCCACCCCAGTTACCTTGTCCCGGGCTCAGCGGAGGTCACCGCAGGCTGATCCGTGAGTCTAGCTGCTGCAGGTGCTCCTGAACACCAAACGGGATGGTGGGCGTCCACATCCTGCAAGAGCAGATGAGGGATGGGAGGCAGAGGCCAGGGTGGAAGAGACGGCCGTGGCCTGGAGTCCCCAGTGCAACCTGCCCAAGTCTCTCCTCCTACCCAGTCTAGGACCCTGGGAAAATCCCACCCAGGAAGAAACAGACCAGTGTGGGGTCATGGGAAAAGCAGAAGCCTCAGCCTGGAAACCCCTTTCTCTATATCTGTTTCCACTGGTGATTGGCTGTGAGGCCTCAACAGTTAGTTGACATCTCTGTGCCTTATTCTTCTATCTGTAAAATGGGTCTTATATGACCCTCCCTATCGTCTTAGAAGATGCAAGTGTTTATGTAGATAAACGTGCTTTGAAAGAGTATACAATACCATTAAACCACGAGATTTCATGGGGACTTAATAATAGTAAAAATAACAATAATAATAAATTAGTTTGAACCATACAAAACTGCCAATTTTGTAGGTCAAAATGACTGGATATAGGCAATTTCACACGGTTCAACCTAATATAGCATTTATTGAACATTTTCGTGTGCCAGACACTATTAGGTGTCTTGACTAATTTAAACCTCACAAAACCACTTAGGGTAAGATGTTATAATCGCCCCCATTTTACAGATGAAGATCCTCGGGTCAGTGAGGTGAAGTGCCTGCTTGCCCAGGGTCACACGTAGGTGAGGGGCGGAGCAGGATTGGAGCTCAGGGGCCACGCACTGACCCAAACGCCTGGAGAGAGGGCCATTCTCCATGCACCAGGGCTGCTGAGACTTACGCCAGCGTCTCCACATGAGGGCACTTCTTTAGGCTCGCAGTGAGCTGCTGGGCCCCGGCAGCCGTGAACTTGTTGTATTGGACGCTAGGGAGAGAAATACATCCTGGGGCTGGGCTGGGCCTGGGGACCATCTAGCCCCAGACCAAGGCCAACATGCCCGGGCACGACAGCTCGACCCAAGCCCAGTGGGGCCCCCCTGGCTTCCCAAACCCTGGGCCCCTGCCACCCACTGCCCAGGCTGCCGCACTCACTCCAGCACCCGGAGGGACACCATGTCAGGAAGCACGTGGGCCAGGCTCTTGGCTCCCGCGTCGCAGATGCAGTTATTGTACAGGCTGCCGGAAACAGAGGTCAGCAGAGGGGCTGGGGGTCCACCCCCACTTTACAGAAGGGGCAGCTGAGGCTTCCCCACGGTCATGCAGTGAGTCCAGGAAGTAGCAGGACTGAGAGCAATGGCCGAGAGTGTGGAAACTCTGGGGAGGACAACTTACCGAGGTTCAAATCCCTGCCCTGCCACTTCCTGCCTATGTGACCTTGGGCAAGTCACTTAACTTCTCTGTGGCTCAGTTTGCTCACCGATAAAATGGGGATGATACAGTAATTGTGGGAAGAAGCCCTGGTGGTACAACAGTTAAGTGCTCAGCTGGTAATCCAAAAGCTGGCAGTTGGAACACACCTAGTGGCTCCTCAGGGGAAAGGCCGGGCAATCTGCTTCCATAAAGATTCCTCATTGCCGTCCAGTCGATTCCAGCTCATAGCCACCCTATAGGACAGCGGAGAACTGCCCCATAGGGTTTCCAAGGCTGTGATCTTTACGGGAGCACTCTGCCACATATTTCTCCCAGGGAGCGGCTGATGGATTCGAACCACCATCCTTCTGTTAGCAGCCAAGCACTTAACCACTGTGCCACCAGGGCCTAGGAAACCCTGTGGGACAGTTCTAGTCTGTCACGTGGGGTCGCTATGAGTCAGAATCGACTTGACGTAACCTAACAACAACCACAGGGTAATTGTGGGGTGGAATAAGCGAGTTCATGCTGGTGACGCACCGGGAACAGGCCCAGCACGTGGGATGAGTTAAATGTGAGCTGGGCTGATGACCACCTCACAGGGGGATTTGTGAGACTCTGCCCTAAGAAGATGTGACCAGCGCGTGGGTAGGAGGGAGGGACCCAGAATCGCTGGGCCGGCTCAGGTTTCTGTAATGTACACACAGCCATCATTAGCGGCGTCAGAAATAGCACGAGGGTGTTGTCGGTGCCGACCTGGCTGAATGCTCACGACCAGCGTCTGTTAACAGTGTTAACAGGCCAGGTGCTGGGCCTGTCACCACCATTCTGATCTGGTGCGTGACAGCCTCAGGGCTGCACCGCTGGGCTCCATGGCCTGCAGGTCTACACTGCAGCAAACCAGATCCAGGCTGAACCCGGGCTGGAGCCAGACAGGGGCTTTGCAGTCTCTTCCTGGGGTGGGTCTTAGGACCCAGGAGGCCTGGCCCCCGCCCCTCAGGGAGAGTCATCTTAGCCTATTTCACTGATGCCAAGATGCACAATGTTCACACTTTAAAATCAGCGGGATCAGGATAGGTCTTATAATCAGTGGAGTGTCATAGTCTAACGAGCAGATTTTTATTCTCTTGATGGCATGCAAAATAAAGGTGTCTTACAATGGATGATGGCATCTTAGATTCCATGAAATGTTTTTGTAAGTGTAAATCACCCCACCTGCTTCTCCATGCACGTCAAAAAAAACTCCAGATGCCTTCCCCTGACCTACAAGGACCCCCGGCCTCTACCAGCCCCTCCTACCTCACCTCCTGCCCTCTGTCCCTCATTCACTACACGCCAGCCACAGCGGCCCTTCTAGCCTTCAAAGTCCCAAACTCTTTCCCACCTCAGGGTCTTTGTACCTGCTGTTCCCTCTCCCTGGAATGCTTTTCCCCTAGAGCATCCCACAGCCAGCTCTTCTTCATTTTTTGGGTCTCACAAAAGAATCACCTCCTCAGAAGGTCCCCCAAACTCCCTGGTGAATTTGATACCTCCTATCATGGCCCCCTGGGCCCTCGCTGGTTTCCTTCTCAGCATGACGCACTCTTTTAAAATCTTCTATTCATGCACACGCTTACTCGCTTATGATACAACAAACTTGAAAGCAGGGACCACCTCTGCTTGCTCATAGCTGTATCTCTAGTTCCCAGCAGGTTCTGGGGCCATGGTGAATGTTAAATATTAGATGTCCTGCACAACTCTCGGGATGCCAATCACGTAGATTACGAGTCGTGCAGTACACAACCCGTAGAGCTGCATGTGGTGGCCCTGACTGGAAGGATGAATGAATGCATGACTCAATAACCAGGGGACTAAATGCCTTCTCCCTGGGTATCTGACCGGCTATCCTAGGCCAGTGGTGAGGATTGGGCAGAGGGGAGGGCTGTTTCCTCCAGCTTGAAGAGGGAGGAGAGCTGGCAATGCTGAGTTGAACAGCCAGGACTCTGGTCCAGGCTTGGCCCCTCATTAGCCATGAGGCACTGGGCAAGTCCTGAGTCGTATTCTTGGTACCACCAGGGGCTGAGCTGGAAGTAAAACACTCAAAAGCAAGAGGTGCTACCCCAGGGCCCACCAGGAGGTGGCAGGGGAAGGACTGACTCAAGTGTGATTGACAAGAGTAAGCTTTTCAGAAGCCAGCTTTGGACTCCAGAAAAAGCTTGTTCCACCCTCCCCTGAGGGGAAAAACAAACAAACAGAAAAACCCATTGCCATCAAGTCCCTTCCGACTCATAATGACCCTACTGGAAAGAGTACAACTGCCCCATAGGGTTTCCAAGGAGTGGCTGGTGGATTCAAACTGCCCACCTCTGGGTTAGCAGCTGAACATTTAACCACTACACCACCAGGGCTCCCCTGTGGGAAGAGGACTGATAGTTATTGTGCACCAGGGCTGGGCACTGAGCCAAGCGCTTTCCATGGGTGCTTGATTTAACTCTCCGAGGAGGGCACCGGGATGGTTCCCATTTTCCAGATGAGAAAACAGAGGCATGGACTGAGGAAGCGACTTGTCCAGGGTTTGTCAGATGCTTTTCTCCAAGGTCATGTTCAGAACATGGCATTGCCCAACCCCAGATGAGTTGTGTTCACATTAGATTCTAGGTAGATGGCACCCCCTCTGGAATGGGGCAATGCCGTGGTACCACCTGTAGTGATGCTTCTAGGCTCCCAGCATTGAGCCTTGCACCCCCAGCCCGCTAGCTTAGTACCTGACCCCATGATCGAGGCCCACTCACCTCAGCCTGAGGAGGGACACAGCCAGTGAAGGCAGGGCCTCGGCGAGCTTGCAGGCACCCACGTCGGTGATGTTGTTCTGGGACAAGCTGCAGGGACACAGCAGGGGAAGGGTGAGGACCCAACCTGGACCCCCTCCGCCTCAGGCATCCATCCGCCCTGGGCTTGGGTGAAGCCTGCTGTGGGCACTGGCTTCCACACAGGGTGGCCCACCACACCAAGCACTGCTCCACGGTCGGCCTCTGAGAGAGCTGTGGGTAAGGAAACAGGAACGGTGCCGTGGCCTAACTCCTGCAGCGGAGTGGGTGTGGGTGAGGCTGCAGAGAGGGACCTCGCTCTCCCTGCCCGCCCGTTTTATGACTTCATAGCGCTCCCTCTTTTCCCTTGGGACCACTTTCCACACTGTAATTAAACAAGTGCTTATGGTATTTCTAGAATGCCTCTCTTCCCCATCAGGCGGTGGGCTCCACAAGGAGATGGGTCAGGTCTGTTTTGTTCATTACTGTATCGCTGCGCCTACAGCAGTGCCAAGCACATAGCCGGTGCTCAGTAAATACTTTGTTGTTTTTAGGTGCCATCAAGTCGGCTCAGACTCACAGCGACCTATGTATGTTGTTATTGTTGTCAGGCGCCATCGAGTTGATTTTCACTCATAGCTAACCCATGTGACAGAGTAGAATTGCCCCATAGGATTTTCTAGGCTATAAATCTTTATGTGAGCAGATTGCCAGGTCTTTCTCCCATAGAGCCGCTGGCAGGTTCAAACCACCAACCTTTTGGTTAGCAGCCGAGGGCTTAACCATTTGTACCCGCTTAACTTTATGTGTAACAGAACAAAATGTTGCCCAATCCTGGGGGAAAACAAAGAAAGGAAAGGAGGGGAGGGGAAGAGAGGAAGGATGGGAGGGAAGGCCAGCCGGTTCAGTGTTACCTGGAACAGACCTCTCAGTGTCCTGCAATCAAGGAAATCACTCGGTGAATTCTGGGGCCTCCCGACCGCAGTTATGAAGGGAAATGTGGTCAGATTTTAATGATACCCTCTAGGTTCAATAAAATATCCTGTGGATCCTGCTTTATCTTCTTCATCTTCAACTTCCCAAAGCCCAGAACATTTCAAAAAATTAAAATGCACCACTTTGACAAGAGTACTTTACTTCTACATCCCAATCCACCTCTAAAGTGGGTGTGTCACTAAACGCTGCTTATCTTTATTACTGTATACTTTATAATTATGGATTCGTTCATTTGTTTGCTTGTTTATTGTGTCTCCTCATAAAATTTAAGATCTCTGAAGTCAGGAGCTTTGTTTGTTTTGTTCAAAGCTGGGTCTCCAGGGCCTAGAATGGCACCTGCACACAGTAGGTGCTGGGTAAATATTTGTTTATTAAATGAAGAAATGATTGGATGTGAGTCACTGGATGACTGAATCACTGAATGAGTGAATGAGTAGTTGGATGAATGAATGAACAAAATGATTAAATGAGTGAGTGAATAAGTGAATAGATGAGAGTAACTAAATGGGTGAGTGAGTGATTAGATGAATGATTGGTTGAATGGATGAACGACTGAATAGATAACTGAATGAAAGAATCAAAAAGCCAGCTGGGCTTTGGGGTTCAGATGCGGCGGGAAGGGCAGGCCCAGTCCACTTACTTGAGTGTTTCCAGAGCCTTCAGCTGAGGAAAGGTGGCCGAGAGCTGTGCGACACCTCTGTCCCCGATCTTGTTCTCACTCAGTGAGTCCAGGCTGCAGGTGGAATCAGATGGGGGCTATCAGCCAGTGTCCAGGAGGCCACCTGACCCCTCCTCCCCTCCTGCCCTGACACCGGACCCCTCTGTCCCTCCAGCCCTGGTTACATGGTAGACTGACAGCTGGCTCCAGGGTGCCAGTCAGAGAGCTGGGGGACAAGGTTCTCCTCCTGGTGGGCTTGACCCCCTGATTTGTCCTTAGGAGCCCTGTGAATTTGGGCAATTTCCTGAAACTCCTGGAGCCTCAATTTCCTCAACTGTAAAGGGGGGGCATGCTCCCCACCCCGCCTCCCTGATGGAGTTGCTGGGAACAGCAAAGGAGGCCAACAGGGAAAAGATCCAAATGTTTTTATTACTGGGGATTCCCATCTGCTGTCCCGTCCCTGCAGTGGGGTCATGGGGTGACTCCCTCCACACTGGGGAAGCAGCAGAGAAAAGAGAAAGAGAAAGGGACAGAGAGAAGGGCCTTCTCTCTGCATGTGCCTTGGGGGCGGGGGTGGAGGTGTGAAGGCCGAGGTCAGGGCAAGGGGGGTACCGGTCCCAGGTCAGTGGATACTCACTCCAGATGCTGGAGGGAGGAAAAGGCCGTGAGGATCGTCACCAGTTTGGGGAAAGCCTGAGGGCCCGAGACAGGGCCCAGCCTAGGAAGCAAAGAGCAGCGGTGAGCCTCCAAAACAGTCACGGCCCCTCAAGTCTGCTCCGGGGTGGGTGGAGACCAGGACACAGAAGCCAGGCCTGGTCTGAGGTTCCTCTCCTTCTTCTCATCCCAGCCCTCACCCCCCACCACCTCCATCAGGTAGGACCCCTCTCCCTTCTATTCAGGGTAGATTTGGTAAAGCCCCCCAGGCAGCCAGCTGGGCTTCCAGCAGGAGGCTCCCCGGTTTTCACCTCTGAGAGGGGACCCAGTACCCACTCCTCCCAACACACACAAGCATCTGAATCTTGGCTTTGCCTCGGACCTCCCATGGAGCTGAGGGAAAATCCCTTCACCTGAGTCTCTGCCTCCTCGAATATTTAGCCAGATCTTATGAGGTTGTTGGAAGGGTTAAGGAATTCATTCATCAAATACGTATTGCTTGCCTGTTAAGTGCCAGGCCCAGTGGAAAACAGCTGTGAGCAAAACAGATACAAATCCCCAACCTCATGGAGGTGACATTCCAGTGGGGAAGACAGATCATCAAACAAATAGGTGAACTATCTGTGTGTCAGATGAGTAGGCAACATGGAGAAAAGAAAGGGAGGACAGAGTCCACTTTCAGAACAGGCCTCACCAAGATGATATTTGAGTAAAGACCGGAAGGAAGTGAGGGCGTGGGCCGTGCAGATGTCTGGGAAAAGTGTTCCAGGCAGAGGCACAGCCAGTGCAGAGGCCCTGTGGCAGGATCGTGCCTGGTGACGGTGCAAACCAGCAAGGAGGCCCCTGTGGCTGGGGTGGGGTGGGCCTTGAGGAGTATGAGAAATAAGGCTGAGGAGGTAAATGTGGGCTATTCCAGGAAGGGTCCTGTGTACAAGGGGAGCCACTAGGCCTCTGACCAGCTGAGGGGCCTAATCTGCTGGGTTGGATGAGGCCTATGGGGTGTTCCACACAGTGGCTGCCAGAGGAGACATGAAAATAGCATTTCCTTCCTTCCTTCCTTCCTCAGAATCTTTGCGGGGCTTCCTGCCTCCAGGTGGCTGGTCTACCCGCCTCTGGGCTGTTCCACCCACAGTTGCTGTTCCCCAGAGCGCAGTTCCGACCCTGAACTAGGGGCTTTTTACACTGAAAATAATTCACAGCCAGAAGGAGCCCTCAGTGATGGTTTTCACACGTTTCCTCTTTCAGCAACATTTTTACCTCTGCACAAATAAGACACCTTGTCTCTGTTCAAAACAAGAGATGCCTGGCTTTTTCTGAGGCTTCTGGGGGAGGAGGGAGCATTGATCAGGGGAGCTGACAGCTCGTGGGTGACCAGCTGGGTGGCCTTGGGCCAGTCACTTAACCTCACTGGGCCTCAGCTTCTCCATCGGTAACACGGATAAGATAATGACTGTCTCCCAGAGCAGCTCTTGAGATTAATGTAATTATATATAAATACCTGTGTGTATGTGTGTCTATATACATACATACATATATATACACACAAAAACAAAAACCAAACCTGTTGCCATTGAGTTGATTCCGACTCACAGCAACCCTTTAGGGCACAGTAGAACTGCCCCATAGGGTTTCCAAGGAGCGGCTGGTGGATTTGAACCACTGACCTTTTGGTTAGCAGCCAAGCTTTTAACCACTGTGCCACTGGGGTTCCATATACATATACATATATATACACACATAAGCATACATACATATACATACATACCAAACAAAACCCACCGCCATTGCCCCGTAGGGTTTCCAAGGCTGTAAATCTTTATGGAAGCAGACTGCCACATTTTTCTCCCATGGAGTGGCTGGTGGGTTCAAACCACCGACCTTTTGGTTAGCAGCCAAGTGCTTTAACTGTGCCACCAGGGCTCCATATATTATAGATACATACATACATATATATGTGTGTGTATGTGTGTATATATACCAAAAAAACAAACAAACCCATTGCCGTTGAGTCAATTCCAACTCACAGCGACCCTACAGGACAGAGTAGAACTGTCCCATAAGGTTTCCAAGGAGCAGCTGGTGGATTTGAACTGCCAACCTTTTGGTTAGCAGCCATAGCTCTTGACCACTACGCCACCAGGGCTTTTATATATATATATATGTACACGCACACACACACAGTGAAACCTGTGAGAGCCGGAACTCAACAAGACCGCCTTGTTTTTCCAGGTCTCGCAGGTTTTCCACCTTTGACAGGGTGTGATCTTACCACTTTTCTATCGCTCGTTTTAGTGGAAAATAAAATTTGAGTTGTCCTTCTCCGACAGGTTTCTGCATTACACAAGTTCCAGCTTTCGCATGTATGTATATTTTATGCACGTATGTATCTGTGTTTTATATGTATGCATACATACACACACACACACATAAAATGTGTGTATGTAAATGCTCTCATCATTAGATGACCTAATACCCCAACACTAATTTAGGACCAAACACCAGCTTAGCATTTGACTTTGTTGGGGCTCGGTTGATCTGACTTTTCTGACTTTGGACCAACAACTTAAAGTCTCCAGACCTCAGTGTCTGCATCTGTACAATGAAGAGATAACGATGCCCCCAAAAAGGATCATGAGAGACAAGAGAGGTGAGAGCATTTGCAAGTGGAAAGGCTTTGTTCGGGCAGACAGATCTAAGTGTAACGATAACTAGTGCTACTCCCTCACGGCCCCTGTGCCCATGGACTGCCCCTTGGCAGTGGCCTAGGTGCAGCTGGGCTACCAAATGCCCACTGAATCTCCATTTCTGTCACCCTGGCAGCACCACCGAGGATGGCAACACCAGCCCTGGTTGCACTAGGGTGGCTAACTGTCCCCCCTTGCCCAGAACTGAGGGGCTTTCAGTGCTAAAATCAGGATGGTCCCAGAAAAGCCAGGATGGTTGGTCACCCTAGCTGCACATCAAAACCTCAAACGGATGCTCCAAACTGGGGGAGATGCCTTGATCTGAGTCCCTGGGTAGAGAGAAAGGTCTGAGAGTTTGCATGTTCAAAACACTGATGATTCTCATGTGCAACCAGGGTTGAGAACCAAGGCCTGGGGTGGGGTGGACACTTGGGGTTTAGAGGGTGGTGTTGGCCAGGGCTGTTATGCTCCTCTGGGGAGCCTTCCACACCACGCAAGCCCCTGTTGGTTCCTCCTGTCTCTCAACCCGCGGTGGTTTTGTTTCTCTTTTTGCTTTGGCTACCAGGAAACTCAGTGCTAAATTCTTGGTTGAACCATTACAATTGCGTAGGACCTGACAGCTTGCATAAAGTGTGTCTGGAAATGAGCAAGCTCGGGCATAGCCGGTGTTGTGCAGTCTGTGAGCAGACCAGAGAAAAGGACTCAAATGGTGGTCACGGCTGCATCCTTCTAAGGGAGGTGTCGACAGGGTTTACATTGGGCCCTCTCCCACCCTGGGAAGATGACTATTCCTGGAAAGTCTTTCCCCCTCCTCCCCTGATGGACTCCCCACCTGGCTCACCCCGACGGGTTTGCCAAAGTTCAATGCAGATACTGCCTCCTCCAGGAAGTCTCCCTGGCCTCCCCTAAGTCTGAGCTCTACAGCCCTCATGCATCCTGCCACTCATCACAGTAGCTGGTAACTATCTATTTATACAAGGACAGGGGCCTTGGTCATTCTGGGGCCTCGCACAGAGTACGTGCTCAATAAGTGCCTACAATGAGTGAATGATAAGCAAATGTGCATGTTAACCAGCAAATAGGCCAGGTAGCGCCCACCAGAGAAACTTCAGCACTAGCTCCGACCAGCCACTCCTCAGCTGCTAGAAGCTGGCCAGAGGGTAAGAATGATTCTGACGACCCGTCTCCCTTCTGGCAGCTCAAGCCGAGTTAACACTGAAGAAAAACCACCCCTTTGCTTACGCAAACTCCAGCTTCTTTAGGTCCCGGACAGCAGGAAGTTCCCCAGCAGCTTCTTCTGAGGGATTTCGCGTCCTAGAGAGAAGAAGTGATGTTAGGGGAAGCAGGCTCTTCACCTGTGCTGAGCCTCTACCTATTTCCCCATGATGCCTGCCCCCAGAGCCAGAATTCCCCTGCAGGAGTGCTGTCCTGGGTGCTATTGCTGCCCTGTTAAAAAGAAAAATCTCAGGACAAAGACAATATTCAGGGATGACTGGATGCAGGCACTTGCCAGCACCTATCCCAGACAGCAGAATAGGTGCTCAAATGTGTGGTGAAGGAATAGTGAGATAGTTAGCCTGTTCTGTGCTCAAGTTTCTCCTGCGCTCTGGACCTCAGCTCTGCCACCTACAAAACGGCAGCAGAACTGGTCCTGGCTTCCTCAAAGCCTGGCCGGGGGTGTCACTTCTGTCACTAGATACAGAAGGCAGCTTGTTAACTCCTAGCAGGGGACGGCTTCTGTTTTGGTTGAATTGTGTCTCCCAAAAAGATATGTTCAAGTCCTAACCCCCGGTGTCTGTCAATGTGACCTTGTTTGGAAACAGGGTCTTGGAAGATGTTATCAGTTAACACGAGGTCACACTAGAGCAGGGTGGGCTTCAAATCCAGTGACTGGTGTCTTCATAAGAAGAGGGCACACAGAGACACGCGCACAGGGAAGAAGGCCATGTGAAGACAGAGGCAGACATAGGCCAAGGAACGCCAAGGATTGCCAGGAACCACCAGAAGCTAGGAAGAGGCAAGGAAGGATCTTCCTCTAGAGCCTTCAGAGGGTGCACAGCCCTACTGACTCCTTGAATTCAGACTGCTGGCCTCTAGAACTGAGAGACAAAAAATTCCTGTTGTTTTAAGCCACCCACTTTGTGGCATTTGTTATGGCGGTCCAAGGAAACTAAGACAGCTTCTCCTTGGCTGTCGGGACAAACCTTTAAGTCCCGGGGGCTCTGCCTGGGTGGCCCACTGCGGGGGGAGGGCACGGGGTGTCACCAAGGGGAGAAGGCACTGAAGGTGCCGATGATAAACTTGACATTGGGTCCCGCACTTCCTCAATCTGCATGGCTTGGAGGAGCACTACTCCTCACCCATCTACCGCTCACCTCTGTATCCGTGCAAGGTTGCCCAGGTCTTCCACATCCTTCAGGGACTCAGCCTTGAAAGGCTCAATGGTGAACTTCTCCTCCGCCACCTGGAGTAGCTTCGCTTCCCCACGCTGCTGCAGGGACTCCCACAGCCCCACCGTGTCACTCAGTCCAGCCCTGTGGAGGAAGGGCCTCAGACCCAGGCACCATGACTGGGCTAGACCCCAATGGAGGGCAGCTTCATGAAGGGATCTCCCTACCTATTCAAATGCTTTCCTTCCTCGGCCTAACCCCTACCTTCTCCAGAAAGCCTTCTGTGACCACTCCAGCCCTTATCGATTCCTCCTTTTGCTCAGCTCTTGCAGTGCTTCTGTTTCCCTTTTCGCTTTGGCTACCAGGAAGCTCAGTGCTAAATTCTTGGTTGAACCACTACAATTGTGGTTGACCTTACAGCTTGAGTAAAGAATGTCTGGGAGGAAGGTAGGAGGGATTCATCAGAGATAAGGGTGAAGTGATCATGCAGATTGCAGAAAGACTTAAATGAGCCAAATTAAGGAATTTCAACTTCATCCTGAGGGTGGTAGAGTGACCTGAAGGGTTGTAAGCAGGGGAGGGATCTGATCATGTCTGAGTCCAGGGGAGAATGCTCTGGTGGCTGACTGGAAAGTGGAGTAAAGGAGAGAATGGAGGTAGGGAGGCCAAAGGGAGGCTGTGGCTTTAATGCAAGTATGAGAAATGGTGGCTTGATCAGAGAACAGAGAGAAGAAAATGGGTTTGAATCCAGATCAGTCTTAGAGTCTAGACATGGCCTAGTGCCTGGCACATAAACCAAAAAAAAAAAAAAAAAGACAACCCATTGCCATCAAGTTGATTCTGACTCATGGTGACCCCTGTTACAGAGTAGAACTGCTCCATAGGGCTTTCTTGGCTGCAGTCTCTATGGAAGCAGATCACTAGGGCTTTCTTCTCTGGAGCTGCTGGGTGAGTCTGAACCTCCACCCTTTAGCTTAGTAGTCAAGAGCAAACCATTTGTGTCACCGAGGGCACTCCTGGCACACAGCGGCACTTCGAAGATTGGTTGAGTAAATCATGCTGCTCCTTATGGCTGTGTGACCTTGGGCAAACTACTGTCCCTCTCTGAGCCTCAGCTCCCTCCTTTTAAAAATGGGAGAAATCAGTTCTGCTTCTCCCCCTGCTGCTGCTACACATACTAAGTGAGACCCCATAGAGCAAGCGCTGGGCACAGCATGAAGACCACAATAGGTGCCCAACCCAAAGGAGCCCCCTCCCCTGCCCCCACCTGAAACGGGAGACACAGCTGAGTCCCACGAGGCTCCCCAGTCCAGGGGGGTCGATGCCAGTGCTGCGGAGGTCCAGGGAAAAGTCATGGCCGGCCGCCTCTAAGGCCCTGCCCAGCACGTGGGTGTCGGAGGGCATGAGCCGGGTGCCCAGGAAGGAGAGGTGGGCCGGGAGCCCACGCACCACGTGCTGCCAGAGCCCAGCATCCCTCGCCTCATGGGCACAGTGCAGCAGCTCCAGCAGCCGCCCGGCCGGCAACGTCCCAGGCTGCAGCCGCTTCAGGTACCGCATAAGCACCTTCTGCTTCCTGTCCACCTGGGCAGCTGCTGCTGGCCCAGCCAGGGCTCCCAGGCAGTGGGAGTACGGCTGGAAGATCAGCCCAGCCAGGAAGCACGGCACACCCTCCAGCCAGTTGTCGTAGGGCCGTTTCTTGCGCGGGGTCAACGCCAAATACTGCGGCAGCTCCTTGTCCTTGATTTCACTGCTCAGCGCCAGCCACACGGCTCCCAGGAAGCACTGCAGCAGGAAGCTGGAGAAGGCCAGCTCCGTCCCTGGAGCCCCCGGGCAGGTCTGCACCAGGCCTTTGGCCATGGCCCAAGCCTTGACCTCTGCCGATGAGAGCTGGGCCTCCTCCAGGGTGCTGCGGTGCCCTCGGCCCAGCTCCCATGCTAGCTTGGCCAGCTCCACCAGGGCCCCTGGGGGTCCATCGTGGGCGGCCGGGCCTAACAGATGGACAAAGAGCCCTGTGAGTGTGGAGGGAAGCTGGGCCCTCTCGTCCAGCCCCACCAGGGCCTCACAGAGCCGGCACACTGCCTGGCACAGCGTGGGGCTGTGGCTGTGGCTGAGGAGGAACGACTGGCTGCGGATGAGCTTCAGGGCTCTTTCTTGGTGCTCAGCTGAATGCTCAAAGTAGCGCATCACGTAGGCCTTGGCCTGCTCGGAAGAGAAGCCAGCCATCTCAAACAGGCTGTCGGCCTTAGCCAGGCTCTGGGCGAGGCGGCCTCGGGGCCGGGCTGTGAGCAGCAGCGTGCAGCCCCGGAGCAGCTTGCGCTGGAAGAGGCCGGCCAGCAGCCCCCGGATGGAGCGGGGTTCTGTGGGCAGGGGGCCACATGCAATATGCAGGAAGCCATCCTGGGCTTCGAGCTCGTCAAAGCCATCCAGGATGAGCAGCACGCGGTCGGGCCTCCTCAAGATGTTACAGAAGACCTCTTCGTCCGCCAGCAATGGCTGTGGGCCCAGGGAGAAGAGCAGGTCCTGCAGGCGGTAGGTGTCCCCCGGACGGTCCAAACAGTGGCAGGGCAGGTAGAAGACAAAGTCGTACTGCGGCAGCTGGCCACAGGCCCAGGCCCGGCTCACGGACCGGGCCCAGCAGCTCTTACCCTGCCCTGCCTTGCCCAGCACGGCAATCACCCATGTCTCATGCCGCCATCGGTGGTCACTGGTAGCCAGCAGCACCTCTGCCAGACCCTCACGGGCCAGCTGCCGCTCTGCCCAGTCCTGGGTGGCCAGCTCCCTCTCCTGGCCCTTGTTGCTGCTCCTCTCCAGCCGTGCTCGCACCAGCTCCACCTCCACCAGGATGCCATCCGGGCCTGCGGGCTCAGCCAGGTACCGGTCCTGCAGCAAGCGGCAGAACCGCTCCACTGCCTCTGCAAAGGCCAGGGGATGAAGGGGTGCTGAGTGATAGAGTGCCCACCATGAGGGCAAGCTTGCCACTGTCACTTCTGCACCCATTCCCCACGCAGTCTTCCTGCACTGCCTTCTTCCTTGACTGCCTCATTCAGTCATCCAGACAGTTGCTCACTCATTCATTCATTCCCACACCTATTCATTCACCCATCTTCTTCCTTATTTAAGGAGCCCTGGTGGTGCAGTGGTTAACTGCTCAGCTGCTAACCAAAAGGTCGGTGGTTCAAACCCACCAGCCACTCCACAGGAGAAAGATGTGGCAGTTGGCTTCTGTAAAGATTATAGCCTTGAAAACTCTGTGGGGCAGTTCTACGCTGTCCTATAGGGTCACTAGGAGTTGGAATTTGACTCAATGGCAATGGGTTTTGGTCGTCCTCATTATCTATCCACTTCTTTTACTCCTTTCTTTATTCCTTTATTCAGTAACAGAACAGTAGTGTAATCCTGAGCAAGCTATATACCCCACTATACCTCAGTTTCTTTATCTGTAAAATGGGGAGAGTAATAGTACCTTCTTCATAGGGTCATTAGTAACTTCAATGATTCAATATACCTAAAGTGATCGGGGCGAACCTGGGTGGTGCAAATGATTAATGCTAGGCTGCTAACTGAAAGGTTGGCGGTTCGAGTCCACCCAGAGGCACCTCGGAAAAAAGGCCTGGCAATCTATTTCCAAAAAATTAGCCATTGAAAAACCTATGAAGCACAGTTCTACTCTGACACACCTGGGGCTGCCATGAGTCAGAATCAACTCAACAGAAACTGCTTTTTATCTTATTTTTTTGAGTGCTCAGAGTAGTACCTGAGTCCCTGGGTGGCACAAATGGTTAAGTGCTCAACTATGATTAATGCTCGCCTGCTAACTGAAAGGTTGGCGGTTCAAATCCATCCCGAGGTGTCTCAGAAGACAGGCCTGGTGATTTGCTTCCAAAAGTTCACAGCCTTGAAAACTCTATGGAACACAGTTCTACTCTGCACACACGGGGTCGCCATGAGTGGGAACTGACTTGACAGCGACTAACAATAATAACAACAGCAGCACCTGGTACAGAGTAAGCACTGAGTAATTCAGCCATTCTCTTCTTCACTCTTTTATTCCCACCCTCCACCACTCCCATACTCATCGACTTCATTCATCCACTCACTCAGTCACCCACTCTCCCCTCATTCAGTCTCTCAGCCTCACAAATTAGATGCCAACACCCAGCATGGGCTTGTTGAGTAGAAGATCCTCAATAACTATTACTTCAATGAGTGATGGATTGTGTGATAGATATATTTACAACAATGACAAAAAAAAAAGAAAGAGTAGCTGCCGAGGCTGCTATGTACAACCAAAAACCTCATGGGATTTGGTTCCTTGGTTTGGAGGTTTACGGTTACAGTTTCATGGGACATCCCAGTTAACTGGCCTAACAAAATGTTTAGTGCCTCTGTTCTACCTCCTAGTTCAATGTGTAGTGCCGGGAGTCTTAAAAGCTTGCAAGCGGCCTCCAAGGCACAAAAATTGGTCTCTATTTGTCTGGAAAAACAGAGATAGAAGGAGAATCAGGAATAGGAAGAAGATATGGAATGTGTGGCTAATTGCCTCCATGAACAACTGCCTCCTTTGCCATGAGACCAGAAGACCTGGATGGTCCCTGGCTACCATCACTGAACATTTTGATCAAAGATTCTATAGAAGAATCTTGATCAAAAGGGGGAAAACGTGTAACAGAATTTCAAATTCTCATGGACTCCAGGCTTCCTGGAGCCATGAAGGTTGGATGAACTGAAACTATTGCCCTGAGATCAACTTTAAACCTTAAACCAAAAATATCCCTGAAGTCTTCTTAAAATCAAATAACAGTTTAGTTTAACTAGTAAAAAATGTCTGTCTTGAGAATTATGCTCTTTTAAGAACTATCTATATGGGATCAAATTGACAACAGCAACTGGGAAGATTAGCTAGGAACCTTAGGGGGCAGTGAGTTTATGTTAATGGGGAAGAACAACTCAGAAAAAGAGGACAAGAATAGTTATACAACTCGAAGAGTGCGATTCATGTCACTAAATGGTACACGTACAAACTGTTGAATTGGTGTATGTTTTGTTGTGTGTATTCTCACCACTAACAACAAAATAAATAAAATTATATAAAAATTTTTGAAAAATAAATGGAAATAAGAACAATAAAAAAAATGAGTGATGGAATAAATGTTCAAGTGGTGGTGTAAACAAATGAGTTAGTGAATGAGTGGATGTGTGAGCCAACAAATAAGGGATTGAGTAAATGTTGAGTGAATGAAGGGGTGAAGCACAGCCAGAGGTGGGCTTCTGCCTCCAGGCTCCCACCGATCGGAGCAGGGGGATAACGTCACCACTCACCAGACCGTTTTGGAATCTTGCTGGAGACCTCGAGATCTGCTGGGCATTGGTTCGGAGACAACTCGTCCTCTGGATATAAAGAAGCTGGTGTCAGAGTTAGAGTGAGAGTGCCCTCAGGGACTCCCTCTCTCTGCGGCACACCCAGGGACCCCCTCCCTCTGGAGCATTCACACCTCTGAGCTTCATGAAACCAGCCAGCCCAGGGCAGAACCCCACCTGAGCTAAGCCTCCCCAAGACAAAGGTTACAAGATGGTGGCCAGAGGCAGGATCTGGCTTGAAGTGTCTTTCTTTGGCAAGCTGTACTTTTTTTTTAAAGTTATGGGTTTATATATATATATAGACACACATATATACATATATGTATATGTATGTGTGTATATAATATATATAAAATACAATTTTCCATTTTAACCATTCAGTGTACAATTCAGTGGCCTTAATTACATTCACCATGCTGTGCAGCCATCACCACTCTCCATTTCCAAATATTTTTCATCTCCCCAAACAGAAACTCTGTACCCCCTCAGCAGTAACTCCCTCTCTCCCCTCCCCCAGTCCCTGATAACCACTAGCAAACTTTGGTCTCTATGCATTACCCTCCTCTAGATATTTCACGTAAGTGGGATCATACAGTATTTGTCCTTCTGTGACTGACTTATTTCACTCAGCATGATGTTTTCAAGGTCCATCCATGTCCTAGCATGTATCAGAACTTTATTCTCTTTGTGGCTGAATAATATTCCATTATACATATAGACCATTTTGTTTTTCCCATCATCTGCTGATTGGCACTTGGGTTGTTTCCGCCGTTTTGGCCAGCTATACTTTTTCAAAGATTCCACTAATGTTTAAAAAATTGCAATATATACCAGGAACACAGCCTGCCCATCCCTGCAGGCAGCTCTGTTTGTGAGCCTTGTCTGTTTGTGAGCCTCGGGGCTTCAGTCCCGCTTCAGTAATTCTCACAGCCCCACAGTTCCCACCTGTTCTGTTTGTGCGGGAGGTCAGGGCTGGTTCGGGCATGCCAGGCAGGTCAGCAGCCGACGGGGCGAAGGGGCTGGTGGAGCCAGGCCGATCTGGGGACTTTGGGAGGCTGTGGACAGCTGGGCTGCCGGAAGGGGGCACTTGGCTGGCCTGGGGCATCTCACCTATGTTGGGAGACAGAAGAGTATAAGAACAACCCGGTATCCATCCAGGAACCCACCTGGGTCACGCCCGCCCCAAATCAGGCTGTGGAGTTTGGAAAGTCTGGATAAAGGTGAGGAGAGATTCCAAAGGAAGACATTTCAGCATGGAGCCAAGGAAACAACTCTAGAGTTCCACCTAGCTCCTGGAGCCTCTGTTTCCCCATCTGTGAAATGACCACAATAGCAGTGCCTAGCTCATAGGGGAGCTTAGGCAGCTGCTACTACAGCATTCTTCCCACTGGGTGCTCAGCGCTCATTTCCCCCGAAGTCACGAGCTGCTCTCTTGCCTCTGGGACCCCTGTGCATGATACAGAAACTGGCATGCGACCTTTAAAACTTGCTCCTGGAGTTAAGTGGATGCACCCCCTGGCCTCATCCTCTCCCATCCCTGAGAGCCCAAACCAGCCTTTCCCCATATAATTCACAACCCCTCGGTGTGGCAGATTGGCAGGGACCACTTAATCTTATTTTACAGATCAGGGAACAAGGCAATTCCAAGAAAGCTGTGCAAAGACGCACAACAGACTGTTCACATCAGTTACTGAAGGGGTGAAGTGAAGACTCGGTTAACTCTTACGCATCTCTTATTGCTTGCTTGTTAATGAGCATTGTTAATTTTTTAACTTAAAAATACAGTAAGATTTAAAAGAGAGAGAAAGATAAGGAAGAACCAAGGGTCACAGGGGAAAGTGACTCATCGAAGGCCACAGGACTGCTCGGTAGGCCACTCACCCAGACCACAGCCAGGAGCGCTCCTCCTCTGTCTGGTGTGCTGGGGAGGGAGGGGTATGAGAAACCCCTAGGCTATGACTGCCAAATGCCCGGAGTGGCAGGAGGACAGAGGGAGGGGTGGTGGCAGGGAGACAGGCCTCACACTCACCGTGGTAGATGAGTATGCCGGAGACCCCTGCCCCAGCCCCTGAGATCTGACAGAGCCCCTGGGGCAGAGTGAGGGTGGGGATGATCTGGATGGATCCAGCAGGGAGATTCAGGCAGCTGAACAAGGGCCTGGAGGGCGGCACTGCAAGAGACAAAGGCCATGAGCAGGGGGCTTCCATAGCACCTGTGGAACTGTTTTGTGATGATCCATTCATGTCTGGCTCCCCCGTGGGACTCTAACTTCCCCCATAGCAGCTGCTGTGTCTGTCTTGTCCATGGTGAGGTTCCTAACACCTAGCAGAGTGCCCGACACAGAGCACGTACTCAATTAATAGCTGACTGATGAACAGGGCTGGTGGGTGAAGCCCTAATTGGTGGGGTTCCCAGCTCTGTCTCCAGCAGGGGCTGAGCTGATGGGGGGCCTGAAGATGAGACCTGCTGGGAGGGAGGTGGGTGTGCTGATGGAGGGGCAGGATGGTCCCTGTCTCAGCTCCAACTCCTCAGCCACCTCCAGCAGGAAGCCCACCTCTCCAAGCCCCCTAACGTACCAGGCATGTGGACAGTCTCCTCCAGCTGGGTCGGGTCAGGTGCTGGCTCCTGGTTGAGCAGAAGAGGCAACTGCAGGCAGGACAAGGCTGAGGAGGCGCTCTCCAGCCCCACCAGGAAGCTGCCAGTCACTGTGAGCCCAGTGGAGGGCTCAGCTGCAGAGAAAGGGGCCACGTTGAAGGCTGGGTGAGATCCTGGGTGGGGAGGAGGACCTGGGAGCTGTGTAGCTCTCCCCTGGCCGTGGAAGGAAACTCCTGTCTCCTTTGCTGAAGCTGGTTTGATCAGCAGCTGCTCTGTGCCAGGCTGCCAGCAGCCTTATCTGCAATGGGGCCTGAGAGCTCCTCTGGGGTTTTCATGGCACCCGTCTCCCTCATCAGACTGGGGACCTTGGATAGCAGGGCTCCTGTTTCCCCCCATCAGATTAGGGACCTTGGAGAGTAGGGCTCCTGTTTCCTCCATCAGATTGGGGATCTTGGAGAGTAGGGCTCCTGTCTCCCTCATCAGATAAGCAGGGCGCGTGGGTCCTGGAGGCCTCAGATGGAGAGCTGGGGCTGGGCCAGAGCCTGAGAGTGGGCTGTGGGCTCCAGGCCCTACCACCCTCCCCAGCCAGTCACTGACCCCTCCAGGCAGCCAGGCTCTGCCTAAAGAAGGGCTAGGGACACATTGCATCCTCATCAGACTTGGGAAGCAACTTATCTCCTCTGCCTGATGGGGAGATCTAAGAAGGTAGGGCACGCTCCATCTAAGAGGGCAACTGGAGGTCATGGCACCCATCTTCCCCATCAGACTGGGGACCTTGGAGAGCAGAGCTCCTGTCTCCCCCATCAGATTGGGGACCTTGGAGAGTAGGGCCCGTCTCCACCATCAGATTGGGGATCTTGAGAGTAGGGCTCTTGCCTCCCCCATCAGACTGGGAGCTTCCTGAGCACAAGGACCACTTCTCCATCATCCTGGGGTCTTCATGGGCAAGGACCCTGCCTCCTCTATCAGATGAGGACTCCAGAAGGCAAGGACTAGGCCTCCTCCATCAGACTCTGAGCCTCTCCTCAGTCTGCCCCCACAGGGGCTAGTCTCTCCACCTTTGCAATAACAACTGGGTGGGAGGAGAAGGGGAGGGAGGGGAGGAAGCATCTGGTGGGAGGAGATGGTCAGCTTAGGGGAAGAGGCTCAGCTTAGGGGAAGAGGCTCGCTCAGGCGTGAGGCTCTGAGGAGGGCGGGAGGGTCTGGTGACCCACTAACCCCAGGTGAGTGTGGGCCCTGAAAGGAGAAGTGTGGCCGTGGCAGGGCAGTGTCTCATCTGACTCCAGATTAAGAAGAGGGATTTTAGGGGAGAGGCTGGACCTCCCAGCAGCCCTCGAGCTGCAGAGCACTGGCTATGGAATCCCAAAGATCTGGGTTCAAATCCCAGTTCCACTTCTCACTTGTTATGTGACTTTGGGTAAATGACTTCATCTCTCTGATCCTTGGCTTTCAAATGCTAGTTTGTACGTGTCTGAGGAAACCCCAGGCTTCCAGGCTCGGAATCTCCCTGGGCCACCCCTCCCTGCTCACCTATCTTCCTGTGCTTCAGGTCCACGGGCAGCTCCTCTGGGAAAGCTGCAGAGAAAATGCGGTGGTCATTGCCCCAGGGAGGGGTGGTCCGAGGATCCAGGGGCCTATGCTCTGCAGCAGGCTGCAAGGCCTTGACTAAAAGGGCAGGGACATAGCCTTGGGGGTCTCATTCCCTCACCTTCCTCTGACCATCTCTAACCCCTGCTCGTCTGCTTGAGCCCAAACCCGATTCGAGGTGCCCAGCACAGCAAGGATGCAAAGGTGGCAGAGCCACGAAGGAGACACAACACAGTTAGAGTTTTAAAGAAATAATCTGCTTTTGAATCCCTTCCTAGCTGTGTGCTTTTGCAACCTAGCATCTCTGAGCATCATCTGTGATGTTCCCTCAGCTGTGAAATGGGCGTGGTGATTCCTACTTCGCAGGAATACATTGGGAATCAGCAAGTGAGTATCGAGCACTTAGTACATCAACAGGAAACAATCTACGTGTCCCTCAGCAAGGGGCTGGTTACATAAATGATGGTTCATTCACTCAATGAAATACCAAATACTGCACAGGCCTAAAAAAGAGCAAAGATGCTGAGTACCTATGGGGAAGTGTATGGTGTCTGCAGTTTACTTTGAAATGTACCAAAAATGAAGTGCGGGGGGCGGATGAGTGGGCGGGTGGATGGGTGGATAGGTGGATGGGTGGGTGGATGGGTGGATGGGTGGATGGATGGATGGGTGGATGGGTGGATGGATGGATGGATGGATGGATGGGTGGAGGGGGGAGGGAGGGATGGATGGATGGATGGATGGGTGGCTGGGTGGCTGGGTGGGTGGGTGGCAGGATGGATAGACAGATGGACAGAAGGATGGGCAGATGGACAGAGGAATGGGCAGATGGATAGATACGTGATAAAGCAAGTGGAGCCAAACATTAGTTGTAGAATCTAAGTGGTGGGTGTACAGGTGTTCATAGCACAATTCTTCCACCTTTTCTGTATGTTGGAAAATCTTCATAATGAAATTGTTGGGGAAAATATTTAGCAAATTAAAAAAAAAAGAAGCAAGAGAAAGAGGAAGAAGTCTCTGGACCCTCTATTCCCCACCAGTGTTATGGGAATGGCTTCCCAGGCATGTTACACAAAGAAAGCAAGGCACAGAAGAGCATAGGTAAAATGTAGCCATTGGTGAGGGGGCAAAAAAGAGGTGGCTTGTAGATGAATAGGCTATTTCTGACAAGGCACAGAGGAAACCAGTAACAATGTTTGTCTCCAGGGAGGGAAGATGAGGGACTGGGGGACAGAAGTGGGAGAGATTTTTTTTTTTCACTGAATATTGTTTGCACCTTTTGATTTGTTTATACCATGCACCTGTATTACCTGTTCAGAAATAAGTCAATAAATAAGTACAGGGCTTACAGATGGCCCAGCACACGGTAAGCATTCAACTGACCGCTATCCCCATTTTACAGATGCTTTCATTCAACAAATATTGTTTGAGGTGCTACTACTTGCCAGGCACTGTACTAGGAGCTAGGACTACAGTGATGAGAAAAAAGACAAGATCTCTGTCCTCACAGCAGGGGAACTAGGTAAAAGGCAAGAAACAAAATAAGTCCAGATCGTGACAAGTGTTGAGGTCTAGGAAAGGCACAAACAAGGTGAGAATGAGTGAGGTAATGTATGTGGAAAGTGTGGGTAGGGAAGGCCTCTGGGGGGGTGGGGGTGACATTTTAGCTAAGACCTAAAAGATGAGAAAGAGCCATCCATGGGAAGATCTGGAGGAAGGACATTCCAGGCAGAGCAAACAGCAGGTGCAAAGGCCCTGGGGTTAGAAAAGGGAAGCAGGCTGCAGGAATGGAAAGAAGCCAGTGTGGCTGGAGTGTGAGAAGCAGGCAGGGGTGTAACACATGGTGAGTTTGGAGAGGTGGGCAGGGCCAGGTCCTGCAGGGCCTCGTGGGATATGGTTTGCAGGGCAGTGAAATGACCTGATTTGCATTTTGAAAGCTCATGTTGGCTGCTAGGTAAGAATAGACTAAGGAGGCAAGGGAGACTGCATAAGAGGCTCCGAGGGGTGCGGGAACTTGCCCCAGGCCACAAAGGCCATACACAACAGACCCAGGATTCTTGCTGACTCCAGAACCAGTGCCTGAAAAGAACACCCCCAAATACAGGGATGATGACTAAGTATGAAAGAGAAGCCAGAACCCAAAGGTCCTTGTGGAAATGGCAATCTAAACAGCCAGGAACAGAAACCCACCGGAAAGTGGCCATTTGCACCTGGGCCGTCTGTTTCTTTTCTGGAAACTTTCACTACACACAGGGGCAGCGGTAAGAGGAGGGGCCGTGGGAGCACCCAAGCCCAGGCAAAGCTGACCAGACTTAAGGAGGGAAGCAACTGGGAGACACAGCAGACTCTGGAGCCAAGGAAGGGCCAGGTCCCAAGCTGGGCAGAGGCGGACTGTGGAGAGGGGGCAGCAGGCTGTCCCCGCCCTTGGTGGCTGCTCACTCACGTCTTTTCTGACTTTTCTGCCCTGCTTCCGTCGATGCCTCCAGACTGTCACCGATCACTTCTTCTGATCCCATGTGCTCTACTTTAGAGAAAAGCCAGAAAGACCAACACCCACCATCAATGGAGGTCCAAGGCGGGGGAGAAGGGGTCTGCTCACCCATGGTGGGGTAGCCACTGGTATTATGGAGTTACCCAAGGAAGAAAGAAGGAAATGCGGGCTGAGCCAAGAGAACCCCAACTTACTGAAAATGTCTCTGCTTGGGCCCTCCAGCTGGGAGTCCTGGAACACATACTGGTCCAGTTCCGCTGCCCAGACAAGGCAAAGCACAGTCAATCAACGAGGTCGTACTGAAGTCCTGTTGTGTGCCGGGCTTGGACTAGGCACCAGGGAGCTGTGGCTGTCCAGGCCTGGCACACGGTGGGGACTCATTAAGTGTGGACGGAATGAACGTTGACTCTTTTTTTATTTTTTTGAACATTTTATTGTGGTTAGGGTGAATGGTTACAGAGTAAATTAGTTTCCCACTCAACAATGTATACACATTTTGTTTCGCGACATTAATAAGCAATTCCTTCAATGTGACAGCACTCTACCCCCTTCCTCCCTGGGTTCCCAGTTGCCATTCACCCATCTTTCCTGCCCCTTCCTGCCTTCTGAGCTTTGTTTTTTACGCAAATGCTGCCCTTTGGGTATCATATGGTTGATTGTTCTGAGGTACACATTTCTCACAGGTGTTACTGTCCACTTTATAGGCCTGTCTATTGCTTGGCTGAAAGGTGATCTCCAGGAATGGGTTCAGTTTCAGGTCTGAAGAGTGTCTAAGGGCCATAATTTCAGGGGTTTTACCAGTTTCTATCAGACCAGTAAGTCCGGTCTTTTTTTATGAATTTGTTCTACATTTTTCTCCCACCCTGTTCAGGACCTTCTACTGTGATCCTGATCAGAATAGTCAGTAGTGGTAGCCAGGCATCATCTAGTTCTTCTGGTCTCAGGCTAGTGGAGGCTGGTTCGTGTGGTGCATTAGTCCTCTGCACTGTTTCTTTGAGACTCTGATTTTCACTCTTCTTGGCTCCGGATGGGAAGAGACCAATAGTTGTATCTTAGACCACCACTCGCAAACTTTTAAGACCGCAGTTGCTACTCACCAGAGTAGGATATAGAACATTGTCTTTATGGACTATGTTATGCCAATTGACCTAGATGTCCCCTGAGACTATGGTCCTAAGCCCTCAAGCCCAGTGACTCAGTCCCTTGGGGTGTTTTGTTATAACTAAGATATTTTCTAACTGTGACCCGTGTGCTCTACTGTATACACGGATATCTTTGCAGTGCATATACAAATGATTATGTAGAAATATCCTCTGCCAGACCTATACCTGTTTGTGGGTGTATACCCATACACCATCCCACATCTGTTCAGCTTACATATCTACCTATGTATCCACTTGTAAACTATTGTTTGTTATTACTGCTGTTGCAGGATTGCATATGTAATAGTATTTACCATTGTTGCCTTTTACTCTTGTGTGCCTCTCAGTGTCTTCCTTTGTCTCAGTCATGTTGTGCTGACTTCCCCCATATTGTGTGTTGTCTTTCTCTTCACCCAAGTTAACACGTGTCTAATATCTAGTTAGTGATTTTCCCTCCCTTCCCTGAGAAGTATCAAAGAATGTTTCTTTCTGTGTGTAAACCTTTTCTTGACTTATTATAATAGTGGTCTCATACAGTATTTGTCCTTTTGTGACTGACTTATTTTGCCCAGCATAATGTCCTCCAGGTTCATCCGTGTTGTGAGATGTTTCATGGATTCATCGTTATTCTTTAACGTTGCATAGTATTCCATTGTACGTATGCACCACAGCTTGTTTATTCATTCGTCTATTGATGGGCACTTAGGTTATTTCCATCTTTTCGCTGTTGTGAATAATGCTGCAATGAACGTGGGTGCACATGTATCTATTCATGTCACAGCTCTGATTTCTCTAGGATAGACACCTAGGAGTGGGATGGCTGGATCATATGGTATTTCTATTTCCAACTTTTTGAGGAAGCACCATACCCTTTTCCACAATGGTTGTATCATTTTACAATGCCACCAGCAGTGTATGAGCATTCCAATTTCCCTATATCCTCGCCAGCATTTGTTGTTTTCTATTTTTTTAATCATTGCCAACATTGCTGGAGTGAGATGGTATCTCATTGTAGTTTTGATTTGCATCTCTCGAATGGCTAATGATCACGAGCATCTCTTCATGTATTTGTTGGCCGCCGGAATGTCTTCTTTGGTGAAGTGTCTGTCCTGCTCATTTAATTGGATTGTTTGTCTTTTTGCTGTTGAGGTGTTGAAGTTTCCTATAAATTTTAGACATTAGTCCTTTTTCAGATACGTCCTTGCCAAACATTTTTTCCCAGTCTGTAGGTTCTCTTTTTACTCTTTGGGAGAAGTCTTTTGATGCGCGTAAGTGTTTAATGTTTTTTAGGAGGTCCCAGTCGTCTAGTTTATCTTCTGTTTGTGCATTTTTAGTTGTGTTTGATAGTCTATTTATGCCATAAATTAGGGCCCCGAGGTTTGCCCCTCTTTTTTTTTCCATGATCTTTATAGTTATAGGTTTTACATTTAGCTCTTTGATATATCGAGTCTTTGATATATCGAGTATGGTGTAGGTATGTATCCTGTTCATTTTTCTGCAAATGAATATCCAGTTTTGCCAGCATCATTTGTTAAAGACACTATCTCTTCCCCATTTAATGGATTTTGGCCCTTCGTCAAAGATTAGCTGTCCATAGGTGGATGGTTTTCATGGATTCTTAATCTAACTGAAGGGATGGGGTATGTACCCATGAGAACTTATCTATTACTATAAAGTAACAAGATGCAGAGTGGTAGAGTTGGCATGGGGTTTGAGTTCAAATTCCAGCTCTAACCCCTCACTAGCCCTACTAGCTGTGCAACCTTGGGTTAGTTACTTAACCTTTCTGGGCCCCCATTTCCTCATCTGTGAACTGAAGATAAATAATAGCTTCTGCCCAAAGATGGATGATGATTAGAGGCCCTGCATATAAAGCATGCAACACAGTAGGTACTCAATACGTTGTCATTGTGTGATCGAGTGAATTCTGACCATAGCAATCCTATACGACAGAGTAGAACTGCTCCATAGGGTTTCCTAAGGCTGTAATCTTTACAGGAGCAGATAGCCAGGTCTTCTCTCCTGCAGAGCCGCTGGGTGGGTTCAAATAACTGACCTTTTGGTTAGCAGCCGAGCACTTAACAATCGCACTACCAGGGCTCCTTATTCAGTACATAGTGGTTAATTATATAAAGCAGTACATGGCTAGGAGCCAATGGGAAGACAATTATAATGGCAAGAGGTCAGAGGAAAGAGTTACAGTGGAACGGGCAATCAGGCAGGGCTTCCCAGGGGAAAGGGCCCTGGAGCCAGGCCTTGAAAGATGCGGCAGAGTGTGAGAGGTGAAGAGCAGAGGGCTTCCCGGGTAGTGGGGACAGAAAGAGGAAAGGTATTCAGGGTGTGTCTGGGAAACCCTGAGGGTCAGGAGGCTGCAGCAGAAGTTTCATGTTGGGGAAGGTTAGCACTTGATCTTATAGGCAATGGGGAGCCACGGGCAGCTTCTGAGCTGTGGAATGGAGTGATGACAGCGATGTTGGTGATGGTAATGATGGTGACGATTGTACCTAACACTTATTGAATGCTTACTCTGCCCAAATTCCTGTTTTAAATGCTTCATACAGTAACTTACTCAGTCCTCACAACCATCCCGGGGTCACAGTAACTTACTCAGTCCTCATAACCATCCCGGGGGCACAGTAACAAACAGTTCAGGGTACCCCAAATGACTGCATGCCCAGGCCAGCGGGTGGCCTTCTAGGAGCACAGAAAAAACCCACAGACTTCGGTGAAGGGCCTCCCTCCACTTGTTTAGGCAGCTCCCACTTCCTGTGGAGATGACCTTCAGGAAAAAAAAAAAGCCTCCAAATCCTAAGCGTTACCCAAATCCTTAATTACTGCCCCCAGGTGCAAGGAAATGTGAACGTCTTAGGTCCCAAACACTTCTGCTTCCCCCAAGTAAATTCCCATAAGGGAAGGAAGCAGGCAGGCTCTCAGTTCCACAATTTCTGAGATACACACAGTAGCTGCTGTTCTCCCTTCTCTGCCCTCGGGTGATACTGGAATAGATGTGGGCTGGGGAAAGACTGGCCATATTCTCACAGAGTACAGGCCTCCTGAGTGATATGGTTCCTAGGTTGTCAGTTAAAGGGCCACTAAGAACAGCTGTGCAGATTGTTCACTGCACAAGGATGCCCAACCAAGAGGGCAAGTAAGGGCAGAAATCCAGCCTGAACTTTACTAGCTAAGCTGTACATCCTGCTGGGGGCTGTATCCCCCATAGGAAGGGGCATCTTTTCTAATTCAACAACAGCTCCATATAAGGTAGTGGTAACCCCTCTGCACCTCCCCCCGCCAAAAAAAATATCACCTCTCCCCAAGGGTCTCTGTCCTTGTCTAAAAGCTATAGCTTTCTTTTAGAACTAAAAACCAGCTGGTCAGCTTAAGCTTTAGCAAACCTCTCCACTCCCAGATACTTCCCTTTTTGTGGTTGTAAACAGGAGCTTTGAGGTGAGAAATACTCAGGCTAGAATTTCAGACCTGCCACTTACTATGTCTAATGCAGACCTGGGTAGGTGGCTTTACTTTGCCAAACCTTAACTTCCTCATCTGTAAAATAAGGATACCGATAGCATCTACTTCCTTTGTGGCTGTCAGGAGTCAATGAGACAATGCCTGTATAGCGATTAGCACACTGTAACCATAGGGTAACCATGATTTGGAACGGACTTGATAGCAACTGAGTTTTTTAAATGCCCAATAAATACTACAGTAGTTTGGCTTAGGAGCTGGGGAGAAAGACAGGCGTGCATGGTTTGGGCTTTGTGGGAAGGAAGGAAAGGAGGGCAAGAAACAGAAAAGGGTATAGAAATAGGCAGAGGATATTAAAGTGAGACGTTGTTTGGCTGTGGTCATGAGTGAAGGGGCCTATTTCTCTCACTGTGCTCAATCTAAGGAGCCCTGGAGGCACAGTGGTTAAGTGCTCGCCTGCTAACCAAAAGGTCTGTGGTTCGAACCCACCAGCTGCTCCGCAGGAGAGAGACGTGGCAGTCTGCTTCTACAAAGATTACAGCCTTAGAAACCCTATGCGGCAGTTCTACTCTGTCCTATAGGGTCACTACGAGTTGGAATTGACTTGATGGCAATGGGTTTGGTTTTGGTTTATGCTCAAGCTCCCTTCTTCCCTGGAGACTCCGTTCTTCTATCTCTTGCTCAGCTTGCCCTGATTTCTGAGGGAGGGGTCTGCTTTGGCTCCTGGTGAATGGAGATTAACAAAATAGAAAATAACCCCCCTCCCTCAACTGCCCTGGGCAGATGCTTCCTTACCGATATTGGCATAAGCCTCCCTGGTCTCTTCATCACCTTCCATCTCCCGCAACAGCCTGCTGAACTGGTCGCAGTTGATGGTGTCCGTGTCAGGCTCTGGGAGGAAAAGGTCCTGGGATGAAGCAGGAAGGATCTAGAAAGAAGGCTGGTGGGGAGGGAGGGGGAGGCAGGGTGGGGGCTGGAAGGTGTCCCTATTGGGAAGGAGTGGTGGGCAGTTGGGAGCTGTCTGTGGTGCTGAAAGAGCTCCATCCGTCCCCGGGAGCCGGCTGTCTCCAAGGCCCTGAGGGGTGGGGAGGAAGCCGGGAGGGGCCAAAGGGAGGGGGGCCCACCTAAGCAGAGCTCGATCTCTTCTTCTCCAGCCAGATCCTTCTGGTCGTAGAAGTGGTAGAGCTGCAAGGGGTCAGCGTTGCTGTTGAGAAGCTCCAGGTACCCACCTTGGAGAGTTCCCAACTCCATGGCGGCACACTGCCCACTGCCTGGAAGGGAATACATGCTCAGCCATCTTATGGGGTTAGAAGGATGCAGAGAAATAACACCTACAAGGGTTCCCAGCCAGGCTGGGTGAGAGCAAAGAAGGGGAACAAAGATGTTCATTCAGCTCCTATACGCTCAGGTAAGTGGGGACAGGAAGCCCATTTCTCTCCTCCAAAGAACTTACGATCACATTGAGAAGATACCCATGATACAGAGAAGGAAGTCAGCTAGTATAGATTCCAGAGATCTCACACCCTGGAGTCAGGAGAACTGGGTCCCACCTCTGGCTCTGCCATATAAACAGCTAAGGTTTATACAGCACCTAACGTGTGCCAAGCACATGGGCTGGCACCTCTAATCCTCACATTAACAAGATGAAAGGCGGGTATTATTACTATTCTCACTTTACAGAAAAGAAGACTGAGATTCAGAGAGGTGAGGTGACTTACAGAAGGTAACCCGGGTCCAAGTGGAAATAGGTTTTGAATCTGGGCAGTCTGTCTGAAAGACCTGCATTTAACTGTAATGTTCTACTGCCTTCGCAACCTTGAGCAAGTCTGTGCCCCTATCTCTCTGTGCCTCAGTTTCCTAATCTGTAAATTGAAGGGGTTAGTGAAATTCTCTCTATGATCTCCCCAGCCATCTGATAATCCTCATTACCATTGTTGAATGGTATATCAAATACTTTAGATGCTACTTCCATTTAATGTTCAAAATAACCCTGGATATGTTCACACAAAAACTTGTACACAAATGTTCATAGAAGCATTATTCATAATAGTTAAAAGGTAGAAACAACCCAAATGTCCATCAATGGATGAACAGATAAATAAAATGTGGTCTATCCATGCAATGGAATACTATTCAGCCATAAAAGGAGTAAAGTACTAATACATGCTACTTTGAAAACATTATACCTAGTGAAAGAAGCAAGTCACAAAGGACCACATATTGTATGACTCCATTTATATCAAATGTTCATAATAGTCACATCCATAAAGACAGAAAGTAGATGAGTGTTTGCCTAGGGCTGCGGTAGGGAGTTGTGAGAGAGAATGGGGAGTGACTGCTAATGGGTAAAGGGATTTTTTGGAGAAGGTGATGCAAATGTTGCAAAACTGATTGTGGCAAAAGTTGCACAACTCTCTGAACACACTGAACACCACAGAACTGTGCAATTTAAGTGGGTGAATTGTATGGTATGTGAGTTATAGCTCAATGAAGCTGTTATAAAACAAACAAAAATCTGACCCCAAAAGGTAGGCATACTTGTGTCCATTTTGCAGATAAGGAAGCTGAGACTTGGAGAGGCTAAGCAGCCTCCCCAGATACCATGCAGCTGGTGCCGGGTAGAGGTGATGCCTCATCTGTGTGGCTCCCATGCCCTTTCCTACAAGCTGGGTCAGGGAGTCTGAATCCACGGTGTGTTCTGGGGCTGCTGGTACAAAGTACTACAAACTGGGTGGCTTCAGACAACATAAATCTATTCTCTCACAGTTCTGGGGGCCAGAAGTCTGAAATCAAGGTGTGGGCGGGGCTGCACTCCCTCTGGAGGCTCTAGCGGAGAATCTTGCCTGCCTGCTCCAGCTTATGATGGCTCCTTGGTCTTCCGTGGTTTGTGGCCACGTCACTCCAGTCTTTGCCTCCATGGTCACATCATCTTCTCTCCTCTGGGTCTCAAATATCGCTGTCTTTCTCTTATAAAAACACTTGTCATTAGACTTAGGGTCCACCCATATAGTCCAGGATGATCGCATCTCAAGTCCTTAATTTAATTACATCTGCAAAGACTCTTTTTCCAAATAAGGTCACACTCACAGGTTCCGGGATTTATGTGTATGTTTTTGGGGCCACCATTTAACCCACCACAGATAAATGCTGGAAGAAATCAGAGAAAGATTTCTGGAGGAAGTGAGAGGAGAGCTAGCCCTGAAGGACAGAGTATCTGAGGGAGTCTTCTGAGTGCCCTGACCTGGGCCCAGAAGAGAAGGGAGTTGAAGGAGGCAAGGGCAGAGTGAGGGCATGGCCATGGGAGACCAGCACACGGCTCCCCCGGCCCTTTCCACCTGCTCCTTTTCCTTTCAGTCACTGACACCTTTCACCACCTACAAAGGGTCTCAGCACAGACCCAGACATCACCGAGAAAGAACTTTCCAGTGCTATGTGGGGCTCTGGCTGGGGCCACCTCTTCATGATGGGTTGGAGTGAGGGCTGCAGACACCCAAATATAACAGGCTTGCAGCATGGGCCCAGCCAGCCATGACTAGAAGAAGCAGAACTAAAAGATGGGGCCACCGCCCTTTCCCTGGAGCGGGGCCAAGGCTGGAGGAGGGAAGGGGTGCTCCACTTCTCCAAACACCTTGGCCTGGGAGGCAGGCAAGCAATCTACTGCTCTCTTCAGGGTGGGGAGAAAACACCTCTTATCCAAACTATAGTGTTTATCGAGAGCCTACATCGTAGCTGTTGTTGTTGCTGATGTTAGTTGCCGTCAAGTCGATTCCGACTCATGACGATTCTGACTCATGATGACCTTAGTCTGCCTCTTTTCCCAGGCAGTGAGATCCGGTGGCAACAGCTTGGGACTGACCCTAGCTCTCCCATGAATAAGTTCTGTGACTTGGGGCAAGTTACCCAAACTCTTGGTTTTCTTATGGGTCATCAGACGTGTAAGGGACCTTCAAGCTCATCAGACCCAACATCCTGCACTTTACAGATGAGAAGACTGGGGTTCTGAACAGGGATGCGACTTGTACAAAACTCCATAGCCTACTGGTGGCTGAGCCTACACCAAATCCCTCAGCCCAAGACTCCCAGTCCAGTGCTCTTTCCTTTCAAGCAAAATGTTTCCATTCAAACGAACAACTGTCCTGCCCAGGAACAGGGACCCGGTCCTATCACAGATGAGGCATCATGGGAGGTACACTGGGGAGAGGCCCAAGGTAGTTTAGCTACAACCTCACTTATTGCCAGCTCAGCTTTGAACTTCAGACAACATCACCAAATGCAGTTAAACACAGTCAGGGAAACATACAGATGGAAGGGCAAGAAGGCAACTCCTGTTACCTTTGGAGTCAAACTGCCTGACTCTGAAACCATCCCCACCTACCAACTCACCACAATCTGGGGCAAAATCTTTTCTTTTTATTGTTTTAACCTCTTTGAGCCTAGGTTTTCTCATCTGTAAAATGGGAATAACAATAATTGGTAACTTGTAAGGATTACCAAGGAACCCTAGCAGTGCAGTGGTTAAGAACTCAGCTGCTAACCAAAAGGTTGGCAGTTCGAATCTACCAGCTGCTCCTTGGAAACCCTACGGGGTTTTGTTTGTTTGTTTTCGGTAATCCTTAAACCAAACCAAAACCTGTTGCTGTTGAGTCGATTCTGACTCACAGTGAACCTATAGGACAGAGTAGAACTGCCCCATAGGGTTTCCAAGGAGCATCTGGTGGATTTGAACTGCCGACCTTTTGTTAATAGATGTATGCTTAACCACTGCTCCACCAGGGCTCCTTATAAGGATTAGGTGAACTAATTCATGTAGAACTCTTAGAAGAGCGGAATGGTACTTAGCAAGTACCTAATGAATGGTAAAGGGTAGCTTAGAACAGCACCCAACACATGGCGAACACAATCTGGGTGGCAGCCATGTTAATTATCATTAATTTGCCTCTTACCTCTGTGATGCTGACAAATGGACATTTTCTCTTCCAGTCTCTCCTGAGTCACCACATTGTGAAGCCAAGATTTCTGTTCTTTTGCATAAGGTGGCCCCACAGACCCTGTAAGAACAAGAAAGCCCCCTCAGCCAGTGAGGTGACTTGAATGGTCTGGGTCCCCCATTACCACCACTGAGAAGTTGCCTGGGGGACCAGTCACCCAAGGGCCTGAGGTCTACGTCATTGACTCAACCTAGACAAGGAGAAATCACCTCTCGGCACCTCCTTTCCTGTGCCACAAGCACTTACTCTCAGGCAGACAGGGATCTGCTGCTCACAATGGGCTTCTACTCCCATTCCCCCACCTGAGCCCCCAGTGAGCGCAAGGAAGAAGGCAGGATGGAGTATTATGCCCATTTTCCTTACCTGCTGATTTACATTTGGGGTGTTTCTTATGTCTGGTCCTTACGGATAAAGCTGCTATGAAATTTGCATACAAGCTTTTTTTAACTGTGGTAAGATACATCTAACATAAATTTGCCGTTTTAATCGTTTTTTAGTGTACAATTCAATGGCATTAATCACTTTCACCCTGTTGTGCAACCATCACCACTATCTATTTCCACAAGTTTCCCATCATCCCAAACAGAAACTCTGAACCCATTAAGCAGGGACTGCCCCTTCTCTCCTCCCCCGGCTTCTGGTAACCATAATCTACTTTCCGTCTCTGCATTTGCCGATTCTCGGTGATTCAGACAGGTGGGATCGGACAGTATTATTACGCCCATTTGGTAGTACCTCCGTGAAATGGCTTGTCCAATGGCACTTAGTTTGGGAGCCTGAGTTTGAATCCTGGCTGTGAGGTCTTAGGCACATCCCTTAACTTCTCTGAGAATCACTTTTCCCATCGTTAGATAGGAATAATGAAGCCTACCTTGTAGGACATCAAAAGGCCAGAAGGGGGTATGTATGGTGCACCAGGTGCACGGGAGGCCCACAGTCAATGGCAGCCCCTTGTTAGTCATCAGAGCTGCTACTCAGGCCCAGGACGACACTCCCAGTCTAGCTCTTCCCACCATGCCGCAGCTGCCCCCACTCATGCTGGATCTACGTGGATATTGGCCTGGGATCTCCCAGTGTTCCCAGGGTCGTATTTTCTGTGTCTATAGATGCTTAGGAGATGAGCCCAAACCCGTTACCACTGAGCTGATTCTGACTCATGGAGACTCCATGTTTACAGAGTAGAACTGCTGCATAGGGTTTTCTTGGCTGTAATCTTTATGGAAGCAGATTGCCAGGCCTTTCTTCCCCAGCACCACCGGGTGGGTTCAAACCACCAGCCTTTC